TTGTCCTCCCCCCTCCGTTTCCCCCCTTTGTGGTCCCCCATCCGTCCCTCCCCCCCTTTGTCTCCCCCCTCCGTCCCCCCCCCCCCTTAGTTTTGTCCCCCCCTCCGTTCCTCCCCCCTTTGCTGTCCCCTCCCTCCGTCCCTCCCCCCTTTGTCGTCCCCCCCCCCTCCGTTCCCCCCCCCTTGTGTGGTTTCCCCCATCCGTGCCCTCCCCCTTTTGTCGTCCCCCCCTCCGTCTCCCCCCCCTTTGTGGTCCCCCATTCGCGTCCCCTCCCCCTTTTTTGTCCCCCCCTCCCGTTCCCCCCCCTTTGTGGTCCCCCATTCGTCCCTCCCCCTTTGTCGTCCCCCCTCCGTCCCTCCCCCCCCCCTTTGATGTCCCCCCTCCGTTCCTCCCCCTTTGCTGTCCCCTCCCTGCATCCCTCCCCCCTTAGTCGTCCCGCCTCCATTCCTCCCCCTTCGCCGTCCCCCCTCCGTTCCTCCCCCCTCCGTCCCTCCGCCTTTGTTGTCCCCCTTCTTTTCCTCCCCTTTGTTGTCCCCCCTCCGTTCCCCCCACATTTGTGGTCCCCATCCGTCCCTCCCCGTTTTCCGTCCCCACTCCGTCCCCCCCCGCCTTTGTGGTCCCCCATCCGTCCCTCCCCCTTTTGTAGTCCCCCCTCCGTTCCCCCCCCTTTGTAGTCCCCCCTCCGTTCCTCCCCCTTTGCTGGCCCCTCCCTCCGTCCCTCCCCCTTAGTCGTCCCCCCTCCATTCCTCCCCCTTCGCCGTCCCCCCTCCGTTCCTCCCCCTTCCGTCCCTCCCCCTTTGTTGTCCCCCCTCTTTTCCTCCCCTTTGTCGTCCCCCTCCGTTCCCCCCCCTTTGTGGTCCCCCATCCGTCCCTCCCCGTTTTCCGTCCCCCCTCCGTTCCTCCCCCCTTTGTGGTCCCCCATCCGTACCTCCCCCATTCTCGTCCCCCCTCCGTTCCCCCCCCTTTGTGGTCCCCCCTCCGTCCCTCCCCCTTTGTCGTCCCCCCTCCGTTCCCCCCCCCTTTGTGGTCCCCCATCCGTGCCTCCCCCTTTTGTCGTCCCCCTCCGTTCCCCCCCCTTTGTGGTCCCCCATCCGTCCCTCCCCCTTTTTTGTCCCCCCTCCGTTCCCCCCCCTTTGTGGTCCCCCATCCGTCCCTCCCCTTTTGTCGTCCCCCCTCCGTCCCCCCCCCCTTTGTAGTCCCCCCTCCGTTCCTCCCCCTTTGCTGGCCCCTCCCTCCGTCCCTCCCCCTTAGTCGTCCCCCCTCCATTCCTCCCCCTTCGCCGTCCCCCCTCCGTTCCTCCCCCTTCCGTCCCTCCCCCTTTGTTGTCCCCCCTCTTTTCCTCCCCTTTGTCGTCCCCCCTCCGTTCCCCCCCCCCTTTGTGGTCCCCCATCCGTCCCTCCCCGTTTTCCGTCCCCCCTCTGTTCCTCCCCCCCTTTGTGGTCCCCCATCCGTACCTCCCCCATTCTCGTCCCCCCTCCGTTCCCCCCCTTTGTGGTCCCCCCTTCGTTCCTCCCCCTTTGCCATCCCCCTCTGTTCCCCCCCCTTTGTGGTCCCCCATCCGTCCCTCCCACATTGTCGTCCCCCCTCCGTTCCCCCCCCTTTTGTGGTCCCCCATCCGTCCCTCCCCCTCTGTCGTCCCCCCCTCCGTTCCCCCCCCCTTTATGGTCCCCCATCCGTCCCTCCCCCTTTGTCGTCCCCCCTCCGTTCCCCCCCCCTTTTGTGGTCCCCCATCCGTCCCTCCCCCTTTGTCGTCCCCCCTCCGTTCCCCCCCCTTTGTGGTCCCCCATCCGTCCCTCCCCCTTTGTCGTCCCCCCTCCGTTCCCCCCCCTTTTGTGGTCCCCCATCCGCCCCTGCCCCTTTGTCGTCCCCCCTCCGTTCCCCCCCCACTTTGTTGTCCCCCCTCCGTTCCTCCCCCTTTGTTGTCCCCTCCCTCCGTCCCTCCCCCTTAGTCGTCCCCCCTCCATTCCTCCCCCTTCGCCGTCCCCCCTCCGTTCGGCCCCCCTCTGTCCCTCCCCCTTTGTTGTCCCCCTCTTTTCCTCCCCTTTGTCGTCCCCCCTCCGTTCCCCCCCTTTGTGGTCCCTTATCCGTTCCTCCCCCTTTGTCGCCCCCCCCCCCCCGTTTCCCCCCCCTTTGTTGTCCCCCCTCCGTTCCTCCCCCTTTGCCGTCCCCTCCCTCCGTCGCTCCCCCTTTGTCGTTCCCCCTCCGTTTCTCCCCTAGTCATTCCCCCTCCGTTCCTCCCCCTCTGCCGTCCCCCGTCCATTCCTCCCCCCTCTGTTTCTCTCCCTTTGTCGTCCCCTCCGTTCCCCCCCCTTTGTCTCCCCCCTCCGTTCCTCCCGTTTTGTCGTCCCCCCTCTGTTCCTCCCCTGTTGTCCCCCCTCCTTCCCTCCCCCTTTGTCGTCCCCCCTCCGTTCCTCCCCCTTTGCCATCCCCCCTCCGTTCCCCCCCCTTTTTCGTCCCCCCTCCATTACCCCCCCTTTGTTGTTGCCCCTCCCTTCCTCCCCCTTCGCCATCTCCCCTCCGTTCCTCCCCTTTTGCTGTCCCCCATCTGCTCCTCCTTGTTTGCCGTCCCCCTCGTTCCTCCCCCTTTGTCGTCCCCCCTCCGTCCCTCCCCTTTTGTTGTCCCCCCTCCGTTCCCCCTTCTTTGTGGTCCCCCCTCCGTTCCTCAAACTTTGCTATCCCCCCTCCCTTGTTCCACTATTTGTCTTTCCACCTCCGTTCTTCCTCTCATTGTCTCCCGCATTCTTGTTTTCCCCCCTTAGTTTATCCTACCTCGGTCTTCCCCCCTCCATTCGCCCCTCCGTCCTTCCATCCTCCATTCTCCCGCCCTCTGCTCTCCCCCTCTCTGCCGTTCCCTTTCCATTCTTCCTCACCAACGCTCTCCCACCCCCCCCTTTCCTTTACCCCTTGCGTTTTTCTTACCTCATCCCCCCTCTGCTTACACGCCCAATTGCAACCCATTCTTTTGTATACATTACTCTCCCTCACGCTGTTCTTTTTGTTCTTCCTCCATCCAGTCTTCCCCTGTTCGTTTGCCTCTGTTCTTCACCTCCATTCTTTCCTGCTCCTGTCTTCTCGCCCCCATTCCCCCCTCAGCTCTTTTTAAGCATTCTTCCTCACGTTCTTCCACGCTCTGGTCTCCCTTCTCCATTCTTACTCCGCTTATTCATTCCTCCCTCTGTGTGACCCTCTCCCTCCCTGTGCTGCTCTCCCTTGCTCCTTATTCTCCTTTCTGTATTTGATTTTCCCCTACACTTGTTTCTACCCTGCGTTTGCTTCTCATTTCAATGGTTGCTTTTCTCTTGCACTTGCTTCTCCCTTCTCCTTGTCCGACTTTCTTGCCTTTGTCTTCGCTATACTGTTTTTTCCCTCGCATCCGTTCCCTTTCTCCCCACCTAATCGCTTTAGCTTCTCTATGGCTGCTACTGTCTCAAGCTCTTCCCTCTTATTTTCTCCTCTTGTTATCCTCTCCAGTCATGTTATCACGTTCAAGGTTGTCACATTCCAAGAACATTCCAAGGCGGCGAAATTCAAGTCATCACGTTCCAAGACTTCTCACTCCAAATCGAGTCAAAGCATTGATTAATGGATATTTGAAGTTGACTTTTGGTAATGTTTTCGTGCTACCCATTAGATCTCCGTGTTTGACTTGCGTGCATTTGCATTGTTGTTTTGTGAATTTTTATGCCGCGTTGCTTGTGTCTGTGCGTTTGCATGGTACCATTGTTGACAACGTGCGTACCAGTTTGTTGGCTTGTGTTTTGCATGGTGTTGCGTTGCGTTGTGCTTGCAGGGGAAGGATGCTGACTATGCCTAGTGCATCACACAATTTGCGATTGTCGTTGCCGGTTTGGGGAATTGCTTCTCATTCCGTGCATGTCAATCTCTATTGTAGCACGAAAGCATTGATGCATTTCTTCCTTTTCAGTTACTATTGCACTGTTTTTGTTTGTTAGCAAGTGTTGTACATCGTTGTGTATTGTGCATGCGTGCAGGGAAACAATGCTGATTATGCCGAGTGCTTCATACAATGTGCGATTGTCTTTGCCCGAGTGGGAGTTTTTTCCCATAACGTGCATGTCAATCTCTAATGTGGCACGAACGCATTGATGCTTTCGTTTTACTGCGTTCGCGATCGTTTTGTTGTATTGTATTGTTGTCGTGTCGAGCCGAGCCGTTATGTGTGTATGTTGGTAACATGCGTTCTGTGTACGTGCTTTGAAAATGTTAGTGGTGATGTTGTGGTTTAGTCATTCTCCGCCGTAATTATCGACGGCGAATGATTTGAGCCTCTCTCATGATTCATAGAAAGCTTAGAAAATCGTTACAAAACTCTATATTGCTCAATTATTATGTTGTCTCAATTTTCGGCCACATAATAATTGCGAAAAACATAGATTTTTTTTTATGCAAGCTAGAAGGGTCTTTTGATACGCTAAGTTTCTGAGTTACAGTCAAAGGAATCAACAAACAAACGGATATGTAGAGATTCTATATCGGAGAACGTAAACATTCAGATTATAGACAACCAATTTTAGATGGAAAAAAAAAAACCAGTGTCTTTAGAGTGAGCGACGCATTAAACCTGGAAAAAATATGTAGTGCGGGCTATTAGGCCGACTAAACAAAGTCGTCCGAAATCGGTCCACCGACCGATTATAAAGGGTTGCTACGCAACCCAACAACCCAAAAAACCTTGGCGTGAGCCCTGCTGTAGAATACGGCGGCAACAGCTGCAGCTCCGTCACCTAGCCCCGGTGAACTCACCATATTGATGGTGCAGCCAGTGAACAGGCTCACCACACTTCAGCAAGCGAGGAAAGAGCGGGATCAAAGTACAGAAACCCGAGAAGACGACATCCGATTTTCTACAACGTCGACGTCGTTTCACCTTATAAAAGCTCGTCCCAACGCACAGAAACCCGAGAAGACGCTACAAACCAATTGTCACCGCATCCCGACGTCCTGTCTTTTTTTTTAACGTTGGAGTACTTGGAACGGATGAGGGCAAGCAGCATCCGAAAAGGCTGAGCAGATTCAGATCTCCAGTGGACGGTCAGACGCACACCTCTACCACCCAAGCAGCAGCCTCAAGAAGCAGTCTCTCGCCATGGTTGAGTCTCGCGTTCCCGTGCTTTCGTCTCGTGCCCTCTGTAGCATCGCGTTCATTGCCCTCGTCTTCGTGGTGTTGCTTTTCCCCCGTGGCCGTTCCGATCCGCAATGGGCCGATGTAGGCCACGTGTGGGGGGTCGACTGGTCAGCGTTAAGTGCTCGCGGAACGTGCCACGTCGACGTGGCGCAGTGCCATGCGGAGGCTACATACTGGGTAGGTGCAGGCCTCTATTCTGCCTCTTGGAAGTCCGTGGGTCGAAAGTTCAACGTGCGTTGAGAGCGGTTTTAGGAACGGATGCGTTATCATGGACTTGTGATAAAGCCACGGTCTGACGCGGTTCCTCTCACTACCTTTCAAATTGCCAGGCGAATGTTCGACGGCGGAGCGACAGGCTGCGAGGGGTTCTTCAGCCGCTGGACCTGGCGACGCGCGGCACGAAGCTGTTCATCGTCAGCCCCATGTACCAGTGCCCCTTCGAAGAGCGCCTCGGGGCCTGGGGCGACGGCGGCAAGGTGAGGGCTTTAAATGGGTTGCCTTTTGGGAAGCTACCTAGATCTTTCATGTTTCACCGCACATTTGCACGGAGGGGCATTCGCGATGCCCTTGTTCTTTGTTGAGTGTTGCTAGCATCGCCTGGCAACGCTCCCGCACTGGTCAGCAAGGTCGAACCCCGCGTTGCCCCAAGAGTGGCGTGAGTTCGAGCCGGCGCCCAAAGATGCAACAAAACCGGGCGGCAAGATCTCGCGTGGGTCCAAACCCACGGGTTTGGAACATGCGAGCGCTCCGCATGGGCCGCCGTGGAAACCCCGCGACCTTCGCGGAGCGAAGCTGCTGCCCACGCAGCAAAGCTCTCAGGAAAACGCCCTTAATCCATCTTTTGCTCAACCCCTCTCTCCGTCGCCCTCGCCCCCTTTTTCCCACCTTCTCTCCCGCTCCCCACCTCTCGTCTCCTCCCTCTCCCTCCCTTCTCTCTGTCGCCCTATCCTCTCCCAAACGCCCTCTCCCCCCACTCGCTCTCTCGCCCTCTCGCCCCTGCACATGGCCCGCAGTGGACGTGCATGATACCGGGAGTATTCCAGCCCAACACCACGGTCTACAGGTGCGCTGCCATTTCGTTACTGCGTGGGCACCCAATCGTCCGTCTCATCTATTGGGTGTTGTGCTTGCGTCATTGCGAGCCCTCTCTCTTTCTTTCTCTCCTTCTGTAGCCCCGCTCCCAGCACCCTCGTGTCTGTTTCTCATAGACCCTGCTCTTGCACCACTTCTATGGCTCGCTACATGCGTTGGCGCTGGCAGCATTGGCAGCCGGGGCTCGTTTGACTTCGAGGAGCAGTTCGCCCAGGCGCGCACGGCCACCATCTTCACGTTCGACCCCTTCCTCAGGCCCGCCGTGGAGGACCAGATGCGCGCACTGTCCTTCCTGCACTTCCGCGCCGTGGGGCTGTCAGGGGAGGCTGATCTGCAGACGTACCGGCGCAAGAACCCCACAAAGCTCTTTGTGACGCTGGCGCGGCTGCTGGCGCTGCTGAACCACACGTACGTGGACGTGTTCAAGATCGACTGCGAGGGGTGCGAGCTGGAGGTGATCAAGGACATGAGCGCCTCATATGGATCCCAACCGGCCAAGCTCGCCATCCATGGAGGCACACTCCCCTTCGGCCAAATCCTCATGGAGTTCCACCAGTAACAACCGAAACCTCTCTCTCCGCCCGCTTCTCTCTCTCTCTCTCTCTCTCTCTCTCTCTCTCTCTCTCTCTCTCTCTCTCTCTCTCTCTCTCTCTCTCCCTCCGTCTCCCTCTCTTTCTCTCTCATTCCTCTTATGGCATCCCATGTGCATGCCATCCCCACATGGGACTTGCTCACCTTACCTTGTGAAAGCATGTAGCCTACCTTTTCTGTGTATAGTCAGTCCACTTACTCGTTCCCATCGTTTTCCTCCCCCTTCCCCGTGTTTCCAGCCTGCACAAGCCGGCAGTTCTTCTCCCTGCACTGTACGCACTGGAGAATCTTGGGTATCGCATGTTCCATGCGGAGTTCAACGCAATCTGCCCCAGCTGTGTGGAAATCAGTTTCATCCATGAAGGGCTTGTCAAGCCGTCCAACCCCGATAGTTGCACAATTGAAAAGGGAAATAGGTAGGTCATGAGCGTAGGGAAATGGTAATATACCTAGGTGAAATCATAGAGCGTCAAACGTAATAGAATTGTTAGCGTTCCTCCTCGTGACAAGAATGGGATAGTTCTGAAATAGACCAAACAAAAATTGAGAAAGCTTGCTTTCTTGTCCTTTCAAGTGGGCATCGTTCTCATTTCAAGTGGGCTACTAGCCTTTCGTTATCAGGGTCTTTTACCCTGTTTCCCTGATTTCACAGGGTATTTTTTTGGCCAACCCTTAATTTTCAGGGTTGGGCTTTTTTGAACCCTAACCTCTTCAGGGTTGTATGTCTATGAACACTGAGAATTTCAGGATTTGCGTTATCCCAACACTGAGTTTTCAGGGAGTAACGCGTACGAACCCTGAGTGCGACATCCATGTGGCTCACAATGCGGAAATTAAGGCGAAGTCCCCAATCTCCAGAGACATTCCCCCCCACACGCAATAACCTACAAAAATTGGTGAAGTCTATCAGGAACTGAAGAAGTGAATAATGTTAGAGAGTGGGTACACACAGACATACCTAAGTGTTGTACCCTCTAAGAGGCTACCCTATACAGTCTAAACAAACATGACAAATACACATGTTTGACACACCCCCTAGACTGCATAGGGGAATGACCTAAACAAGCAGCTCAGGGCGGCACTACTAGTCCAACCTCTGAGACAAGGGTCTGAGAGACCAGTCAGAAGGAGTACAGACAAGGCAAGAACAAGAGCAGGGCGGCACTACTAGTCCAGCCACTGGGAGAGGACACAAGTCCAGTCTGAGTATACATATAAACGACAGTACAAAGTCAAGGTCCTAGCAAGTGAGAGGCTACAGGAACTAGGCCAAGCTGTACACAGTGCCGCTGATGATCTTTAGGCGCAAGCGCCTTCGTAAAGATATCAGCCGTGTTGGCACCTGAGGCCAAGTGTACTACGCGAGCCTGACGTCACTGCTGTAGCTCACGCAGGAGGAAGTACCGCAGCTGAATGTGCTTCGCTCTGCCCTCGAGTCGAGGCTCCTGACACAGGAGGATCATGGCCCTGTTGTCAGCGAACAGGACCGGGGCAGAGCTAGGCCCGCGCCACAGACGAGGAGCGAGTAGCTCTCCACGAGACGGCACCTGAGCCAAGGCTGAAGCAGTAGCCCTGGGTAGACCTGAGTGTCTCAGCGTCGTCTGCCCACGAAGCGTTTGTGTGTCCAGTAAGGACCACTGGCCTGCGTCCTCCTAGCACTAACCCCATGCCCGATGTACTAGCAAGATAACGCAGAACCCTCTTAGCGGCAGACCAGTGTTGCGGTCGGTGTCTGCCTTTGGCCACAAAACGAGCCAGGATGCTGAGAGGGTATGCGAGATCTGGGCGAGTGCAAGTTATCAGGTACATGAGGCAACCCACCAGCTCTGCGTAGGGGCCGCTGGGCTCTACCAACTCCTCAGACACTGGAGCGGAGAGCCTGTGGTCTACAGGCAGAGGGGTGGGCTGTGCAGAGGAGAACTGAAGGCTGAACCTCTGAAGGACCTGGCGCACCAAGTGTGACTGATCAGGGTGATGGTGCGCGCAGCTCTGTCCCTGGAGATCTGCAAGCCAAGGTAACGGTGCAGTTCTCCAAGGTCAGTGCAGGTGTGTCTCTTCAGCAGCTCTGCCTTCACGGAGGCCAGTGCGTCCCTGTCTGCTGTGGCAAAGACCAGGTCGTCGACGTAAACAAGGATGTAGAACGGAGTCTGGCCAGCACGAACGAAGAGGGAAGGGTCTGCGGAAGACGGAAAGAACTGCAGGTCAGCAAGCGTAGCACGGAGAGTGTCATGCCACTCACGGGGAGCCTGGCGCAGGCCGTAGACGGGGCGCCGCAGGAGCCACTGGGTCCCAGAAAAAGGTGCCAGTAAAGCCCGGAGGGCGACGCAGGTAGACCTGCTCGTGTAGGCTGCCCTGAAGGAAGGCAGTGGAGAAGTCGAGGGAGTGAAGCTCGTAGTCACGCTGAGCAGCTAGGTGTAACAGAACCCGAAGAGTAGTCATCTTCGGGGTCGGAGCGAAGGTCTGGAAGAAGTCCACCCCCTCGCGCTGACTGAAGCCTCTGGCCACGTAGCGCGCCTTGAACACAGGTGGCTCTCCAGGAGGGCGCTTCACCTTGAAGAGCCAGCGGCCATCGACTACGTTCACCCCAGGCGGGGGAACTGCGTCGACGAAGGTGCCGGTGGATCTCCAAGATGCCATCTCCTGCTCCATGGCAGCTATCCACTGCGAGGCCCAGGGTCCCGAGGTCGCCTCAGCGTAAGTGCGAGGGGTCGGGATGTCCAAAACGTCTGGGTCACCCTCAGGGACTAGCAGCATGGAACAGAGATGGGGAGCAGCCTCGGACAGGAAAGCAAGCTCGAACTGGCGGTCCTCCAGGATGTCACTGCCAAGGGCAGGAGCACCCCCGACAGACGGAGGACAGGCAGGGTCAGAGACCAGAGCGGAGGCGTAGTCCAGGCGGCGGGAAGAGGCGAAGTCAGCGACAGCAGCGACAAGGGCGTCAAGGCACGAGGCCGGAACAGACGGGTCGGTAACGAGAGAGGCAAGGACGCGAGGAACAAGAGGACGAGCGGCACGAAGGTAGTCAGACAGCGGGGGGGGTGCAACAACAAGGGAGGAAGGAGGAGACGACGGCAGAAGGGGAGGACGAGACGCGTGGGAACGAAGCAGCATAGGGTGGGAGCGCAGGACAGGCGAGGCAAGACGAGCACGAGAGGGACGGTGAGACCAGACGTGCGACGGAGGAGTCGGGTCAGGAGACAGAGGAGGGGACACAGGAGGGGAACGAGGGGGGAGACGGGCCGGGGACGAGTCCGGCGGAGGGAAAACAGGGCCGTAGACAGGAAGAGGAGGAGACGGTCGGAAAGGAACCGACGCAGGGTCGGGGGACGGCAGGCCGAGCAGGCGAAGGGCTGACACCGGCGGGGACTGCTGCTGCGGCGGCACAACGGCGACACCAGGACCGCAAGCTGCTCCTCGGCTACCCCCGGCACTCTCCACACCAGCACCCCCAGAGGGACCACCCCCAGGGCTACCGGGACGAGCACCCCCAGAGTCAGCGAACGGGTGCTGCGACGGCGGCGGCGGCGGCGGCAACGACGGCTGCAGCGGCGGCAGAGGCGGAGGAGGAGGGGACTGGGGAGGGGACGCCAGGGGAGGGGCGGCTGGCGAGGACTGCAGAGGAGGTCCACCAGAGTCAGAAGACTCCTCAACCGGGTCCACCGACGGAAGGGGGGTGATGTGGGACACACCAGAGGGGGCGGGACGGGGAGGAGGAGGAGGAGGGACAGGGACTACCGGGGAAGGAGGGACTAGGAACAGGGGGGGAGTAACCGGGGGACCACGGTGGGGGAAGCGACGGTAGTAGGAGACGGACTCGTCAAAGGTGACGTCATGAGAGTGAAAGAAGCGGTGAGACGGCGGGTGGTAAAAGTGCCAGTCGGACGCGTCAAGGGGAAAACCGAGGAAGACGCAGGGAAGGGTGCGGGCAGTGAGCTTGTCCGTGCCGGAGGCACGGACGTGAGCAAGGCAGCCCCAGACGTGGAACGCAGACGCGTCACCAGGAGACCCAGTCCAAAGACGGGTCGGCGAAACCTGCGGCTGCTGAGGGTGCGGCCACAGGTTAAGCTTGTGAGAAGCGTAGCGCACAGCGAACGGCCACAGAAAGTGGGGTGCACCGGCATGGATCATGGAGGTGCGAGCCACCTCCATGACCAAACCGATGCGTCGCTCAGCGACCCCATTCTGATGTGGGGAGTCTGGTAGGGTGAACGTCTGGGTGATGCCCTCCGCACGACAAAAGCGACCAAGGACACCTGAGGCAAACTCGCCACCACGGTCTGAGTGAAGACGCAAGACAGGGAGACCGCGGTGGACACGCGCAGAGACAAGCCAGGGGATGAGAGCGCCAGGCACGTCGGCCTTGCGCTCCAGGGGAAAGACGGTGGTGTAGCGAGTGAAGTCGTCGACAAGCAGTAGGAAGTAGCGCTCTCGACGCGGCCCAGGGACAGGGGCGGGGCCCCAGACGTCCAGGTGCAGGGTCTGCAACGGCGCGGCTGTAGGGGGAAACGAGGAGGAGTGAGGGGCACGGCGAAGCCAACCCTCGACACAAGGCGTGCAAGGTGGGGCTGGGGAGGAGGGAAACGCAGGGAGAGAACCTGGGAGACCAAGGACAAGACCGTGCTGGGACATGTGACGCAGACGCGGGAGCGCAGGGTGACCTAGGCGGTGGTGCTAAAGGAGGGTCGGGTGAGTGAGGGACCGACAGGAGCAGGCGGCAGCAACGTGGGTGAGCGATCCAGCCGGGGGGGTCACGGTGTCCAGAGTGAACAGGCCGGACACCGGGTCCCGGGGGAACATGGACAGGGGGGCACCAGTGGCGGCCTCGGTACAGACAGCATACCACTCGTGACCAGGGAACGTAGTGGTGACGCCAAGGTCCTGGAGGCAGCCGACACCAACTAGGTTCCTGGAGAACGAGCGGATATGCAGACCTGTAAGAGAGCCCGAAGGAACCGCCGGACAGGGAAGGGTGGTGGAACTGCGGGCGACTACCGGACCGCCAGAGGGGTCAGCGAGAGAAACGGCAGCAGGACAGGAAGCGGCGTCAGGGTGGTGGAGTCGCGGAAGAAACAGGAACAGTCCAGTGCGGTGCAGGGCAGTGCAGTGCGGTACAGTGCGGTGCAGTGCGGTGCAGTGCGGTACAGTGCGGTGCAGTGCGGTGTAAGGCAGTACAGTGTGGTGCGTGGCGGTACGGTGCAGGGCAGTGCAGGGCGGGGTGGGGGGGAACCGTACCAGTGAGGAGGACGGGGCCGGGGCAGCGGGGCCGGGCAGGTGCGACCGGGCCGGGCGAGGACGACGGGGCCGGGCGGGCGCGACGGGGCCGGGCTGGTGCGACAGGGCCGGGCCGGGGCGACGGGGCCGGGCGAGTGCGACGGGGCCGGGCAGGGGCGACGAGGCCAGGCGGGAGCGACGGGGCCGGGCAGGGTGCGACGGGGCCGGGCGGGTGCGACGGGGCCGGGCGAGCAGGATGGGGCCAGGAGGGGCGCTACGGGGCCCAGGAGGGGCGCGACGGGGCCCAGGAGGGGCGCTACGGAGCCCAGGAGGGGCGCAACGGGGCCTGGGAGGGGCGCGACGGGGCCCA